AGTTTATTATTTTTATTGTCAATTATCATGAACAAAGGGCATGTATAATTTAACATTCATGTGTTTAACTTTTATTACAATTATCATCATCGCTTTTTAAAGCAAGTAATATTACCGAGGGGGTGAAGGCAGTTCCAATAATAGAGGTGTAAGTAGATAAACCTTTCTTTTAATATTCCGTTTTCTTGGGGGGGTTTTTTTATTTTTATTTTCTGTTTTTTTTTTTTTTGTTTTTAGATTTTTTGTTGTTTTTTTTTTGTTTTGTAGTCACTACCATCCAAGTTTGTCGAAAAATAAAAGGGAAAGATGAACTCCTTATAAATGGGACTTTAATAAATATGTAAAGAGTGAAAATAAAGAATATGAAAAGGGAATGAAACAACCATTGAAATAAGAATTTAAATCACAAAGGAGAAAAAGACCAAAATGAAAATCTACAGAAAGTGTTTTAGTCAAAGAGAAATGGATAATGCCACTTAGACGCAAGAGTGCAAGAAGATGAGAAAACACAAGAGAAGAAAAAGACAATAACAGAACATAATTCGGGAAGTCAAAATATGATGATTGATGTTGCATTTTAAAATTTTCAAGATCGTAGAGGACACGAAATCAAGTTGCAAGAAGAGAGTTTCTTAAGCGAAAAGGGCGAGAAAAGACATTCTTAGAATAGAACATACGGTTGGATCCATCTTTTTCAACAGTAAAACGATGAGACCTATTTGACAGTCTAGTACCACACTCTTCCGGTTGAGATTTCAAGGAGGAAAGCTCATTAAGGCAATTAATATGGAAATATTTATAGAAAAGACACATGGACATGGAAAACTAATAGAAATCAAGATGACATTGCAAGACCAATAACATTACAGGCATTTTGGAATTTATCAAGAATCATGAACTATATAGAATGATCACCAAAGCAGTTGTGGCATCAATATTCAATGCAAAGACGAATAGTATATTTATAAACGGAATATCGATTCTGGCAAGAAGAATTGTCAAGCACTGCAACGTGAACCAAATTTTTGAGCAGGAAACCCAATAACTGATTCAATATAATCATTCTACTTCAAGTCACCTGAAAAAGTAAAACCAAAAAGTCTCAATGAGACTCTCCTGTGTTTAGTATCAGCCATGTTGACAGCATGGTTCTCTAATATGAATAAGACAGCAGTTTCACGTTGGAGTCGTTAAAGTTTAAAAGTCATTTTTTGATCCAGCTAACAACAGACTGAAGTATACTTTGGAGATCAGATTCCAGTTTTATCAGACCTGTCGGACTTACATTTAAGATCGGAGTAAGTATTGATGTCATCAAAGCGGCTTCAAAAACACCAGTAAATTCTACCTGAGTTGGCTCATCACAGTTTCTCAAAGAGGAACCAATTCTACCAGAGTTGGCTCATCCCTGTTTCTCAAAGAGGAAAAAATTCTGCCAGTGTTGGCTCATCCCAGTTTCTCAAAGAGTGACCAATTCTACCAGAGTTGGCTCATCCCAGTTTCTCAAAGAGGAAACAATTCTACCAGAATTGACTCTACTAGTTACTCGAAGAGGAACCGATTCTAGCAGAGTTGACTCATCCCAGTTACTCGAAGAGGAACCAATTCTACCAGAGTTGACTCGTCCCAGTTTCTCAAAGAGGAACTAATTGTAGCCGAGTTGACTCATCCCAGTTTCTCAAAGAGAAATCAATTCTAGCAGTGTTGTCTCATCCCAGTTACTCGAAGAGAAACCAATTCCCGCAGTGGAACTACACAACAACTTCTTCATTCTCTTCTTTGCTCGTTCTTCGAATGTATTTTTACAGTGATGTTCAACATCTACAAGTCCCGAGAGTCACTCGATATAGAGGGCCACAGTAAGAAGTACAGAGTATGTGGATATGTGGGAAAGATAACGATTAATCTTAGATTTGCGCAGGTTAAGAAAGTTGTGATCGGGGAAGCATCCTTATAGGAGTCGGTTCCACAAAGCAGCGGATCGTGGGAAGAAGCCGCTTAAGTAGCTCACCAATAGAATACGATGAGAAAGACGCCGTGTCACTATAATGGGCGTAACATGGTGGGTCTTAGCCATGAAAGTTAGAACTGGTGGAACTAAGAAATGTAGTTTGTCCGAGGATATAACGATACAGCAGTGAGAAGCTAAGAGTTGTTAGCTGGAAAATAATGTCACCCAGGGGAACAGGGAGACACTTGCAAACTATCTACACTAGATAGTGCAGACTTGTCAGCTTCTGAAGGTATATGTTAACAGTATTCCATTTTTGGTCAGATATGGGTCTTGTAAAGGAAGAGGATAGCAAGAGGACTTAGGGTACAGGGAACATCAATTATGTCTAGGGATCATATGTGTGAGTTCCACTTGAGGTCCTGGTTGACAATAAGTTCGTTCATTGTGATTGGGGATAATTCAGTGTCCGATCGATGATGGTGGAATGTAACAAGTTTGGTGTTCGAGGCATTGGATATAATCAGCCAGTTTTTTTTTCACTCTCTGAGATGATAGAGGAATATCGCGGTCTTCCTGATAAAGAATCCAATCATCGTAATTGGTGATAATTCAGTGTCCGATCGGCGAAGATGGAATGTAACTAGTTTGGTTTTCGAGGCATTCAATGTAATCAGCCAATTTTTTCATCCACTGAGATGTTAGAACAAGATCGGGGACATTCAAGATAAAGAATCTATTCATTGTCACTTGTAGTAGTTCGGGGTCTGATCGTCGATGATGTAATGTAACTAGTTTGGTTTTTGAGGCATTGAATGTAATCAGCCAGTTTTTCACCCACTGAGATATTAGAGCCCGGCGACAGTCTCGTGTTTTTGAGGTGTAGCCATATACTTTTGCATCATCAGCATAGATATTCACAGATGATCGGCGTATACTCTTAGGCTGTAATTTATGTAAAGAAAAGGTTTGGTCCGAGAAGTGGCCTCTGGGGAACGCCTGTATTGATCACTAGGACCTCGCATGCTTTCGAAATATTAAAGTTATGTGAATCATAATTAGAAGTCATGGTCCGTATTTTTTGGAAACAAACACAAGATTGCATATTTGCCAAAGTTAAAACTGCCGTTGAACTAATGTGGGTGAGATTAAAGACAAATCGACCAGGCCGCTGAAGATAATTCAGATAGAGTGCTTTGCGGTCTGAAAAATTTCTTTCTTTCTTATTCTTTTTCTTGACCTTGTTTCATGAGATGGCTTTTAAGCCGTTCCTTTTTGCATTGATTTCAATTCTTCTTTAGCCCTTAATGACTCCACACGATTCTTTTATTTTCTGTCTTCCGCTGATATGAATTCCATTTTTTTTTGTCTCTTTAATCTATTCAAAGCCTCATATTTACAATAACTTTCTTTCGTAAAGAAATAGAAATACTCCGGTAAGTTTAATAAAAGCCCGTCTCAATACATTCGAAGCTCAAAGATTTCTAGCGATATCTTCGATGCGTGGAGAGGAGAAGACATCACAATTGGACTGGATGAATACCGGGAAATTAAACGGATTTATTTTTTTATTTTTTTTTATTTTGTGTTTTACAGATTCAAAGAACATCTTAAAAGAAGTTAATGTTGACGCTTATTTGTTTTTAATTCATAAATGAATTCTTTCTCCATTTTTGATTCCTATATTTTTTCTCATTCAGTCCTACTTCGCTGTCAACTTTCTTTCTATTCTTCTTTGCATTCATTTTATTTCTTTTAATTTGTATTTATATTTTTCTTTCTTTCTTTCCTTCTTTCTTTTTTATATTCATTTTTTCTTTACTTCTTTTTTTCTTACATTCATTTTCTTTCTTTCTTTCTTTCTTCGTTTCTTTTTCTTTGTATTTATATTCTTTCTTTATGTCTTTCTTTCTTTTTTACATTCATTTTCTTTATTTCTGTTACTTTGCATTTATATTCTTTCTTTATTTCTTTCTTTCTTTCTTTCTTTCTTATATTGATTGTCTCTCTTTCTTTCTTTTACTTTGCATTTATATTCTTTCTTTCTTTCTTATATTGATTTTCTCTCTTTTTTTCTTTTACTTTGTATTTATATTCTTTCTTTCTTTCTTTCTTTCTTTTTTTCGTACATTGATTGTCTCTCTTTCTTTCTTTTACTTTGTATTTATACTCTATCTTTCTTTTTTACATTGATTTTCTTTATTTCTAATGTCTACGCCATTGTTAATTTTTAATTTTTTTTAAAATTCATATTCTTTCTTTACCTTGTTATTTGTTTTTCCTTTCCTTTTCCGCGCTTTTATATTCTTTCTTTCTTTCTTTAATTTAACAAGTTTCTTGATTTTCTATTTATTTTTATCTCTTGTTTTCTCTTTCTTTCTTAATTTTTATATCATTTCAATTCCTGACATTTTTTAATCATTTTCATTTATTTTCTTTGTTTCTGTCTTTCATCCCTTCTTTCTTTTTCTTTCTTTCTTTCTTTTTCTTTCCCGTTTCTTTCTTTCTTTCTTTCTTTCTTTCTTTCTTTCTTTCTTTCATTCTTTCTTTCTTTCTTTCTTTCTTTCTTTTTCTTTCCTGCTTTCTTTCTTTCTTTTTCTTTCCTGCTTTCTTTCCTCCTTTCTTTGTTTGTTTGTTTCTTTCTTTCTTTTGTGAATATTCCTAAGATTTTTTCTTTTTCTACATTTGTTTTAATCATTTCTTTCGTTCTTTCTTTCGTTTTTCAATCTTAATTTTTATCTCATTCATAATCATGATTGTTTTTATTCTTTTATACTCATTTTTTCTTTCTATTCGTTTGTATTTTGCATGATTTTCCCTATATTTTATATTTTTCTTCCTTTCTTCTTGTCTTTCATTGTTTCTGATACTATCTTTCCTGTCTATTGATTCCTTTCTCGTCATTCTTGTATTGACTACCGGCTTGAAACGGGCACGAACATCGCTATATACAGAAACAGAAAGAAATGAGATCGAAATCATGAGACTCAAGAAACATTGAAACGCTGAGTAGAAGAATCTTATCTTTTAAAACAATTAAGACAAAGTATTAAAGAGATACACTTGAAAAGAAAGAAAGAAAGAAAGAAAGAAAGAAAAGAAATAAATAAATAAAAAAAAAAATAAAGAAAGAAAAAAGAAAGAAAGAAAGAAAGAAAAAAGAAAGAAAGAAAAAAGAAAGAAAGAATGAAAGTAAGCATGAAAGAAAAAAGAAAGCAGGAAAGAAAGAAAGAAAGAAGAAAAATGAAAAAAGAAAGCAGGAAAGAAAGAAAGAAAGAAAGAAAGAAAGAAAGAAAGCGGGAAAGAAAAAGAAAAAAAATACATAAATAAAAAAAGAAAGAAAGAAGGAAAGAAAGAATGAAAGAAAGCATGAAAGAAAAAGAAAGTAAAAAGAAAGCAGGAAAGAAAGAAAAAAGAAAGCAGGAAAGAAAAAGAAAAAAAGAAAAAAGGAAAAAAAAAAAAATAAAAAAAAGAAAGAAAGAAAGAAAGAAAGAAAGAAAGAAAAAATAAATAAATAAATAAAGAAAGAAAGAAAGAAAGAAAGAAGGAAAGAAAGAAGGAAAGAAAGCATGAAAGAAAAAGAAAGTAAAAAGAAAGCAGGAAAGAAAGAAAAAAAAGAAAGCAGGAAAGAAAAAGAAAAACAGAAGAAAGAAAGAAAGAAAGAAAGAAAGAAAGAAAGAAAGAAAGAAGGAAAGAAGGAAATCGTCATACATCGTATCCGTATGAAAGTTTCGATCTGACGCGCATATTTCAGAACATGACACGAGATTTTAGCTTCATGTTTTAGTTTCGTATCAAACTGCAATTTGATACGAAACTACACTAGTTGAGCCTACTCTGTTTCCAATTTCATTATCATTTATACTAAATATATTAAACTGATCCATACACCGATGTATTTGTATCGGTATTATTGATTAGTCCCCCATCCTGAATTGTTTGCTATGGATTCAGTTTCGGAACTATTAGTCCTTTTATTGACATTTCCGATCACAGTTTGTTATGCAAATGTTTGAGTTCTATTTCTTGGAACACTTCTTAGAGGATATTGATTTTTTGGTTCAAGATCATTCTCATCCCGACTATGAATACTTATATCATCAACATGACCTCCTCCTCATTTGTACATTGGTTTTGTGGGGTGGGGAGCATAAATAACGTTTTCTATTGGCGAATTCGTTTGGGATGTGGTAGAGAATGCTTAAATGATCACTGTCCATTATATGACAAATGTGTTCGTCAATGCACAGATCATAGTCCAGGAGAGGATTAAATACATTAGCACTTCCATTTCCCCTTTGTCGTACTCCTCACTAACTTTGAAATGTTTCGGTATTGGGGTCCTCTTCAGAAATAAAGAAAAAGAAAGAAAATATGATAAAATAGAAAAAAGACGGGGTATTGAAGAGAAAGTTAATAATATGAGGTTGATGCAAAAATAATGACGTAATAATGTCGTTTTTTGACGTATTTTTTAACGTCAAAAAACGATATTCTTACGTCATTATTTTTGCACCAACCTAATAGTAAGATATTAAACAGAAAGAAACAAGTTAACAATTATGGTAAGGGCAAAACTTATATAAATATACATTTCCACAGACACATTTTCTCTCTCTCTCTCTCACACACACACACACACACACACACACACACACACACACACACACACACACACACACACACACTTCTTGTATGGGCGACAGTCCTGGGTATGATGATGAACAATATCTTGTGGCAAGGCCTCTTATCGGAGGATTGACGGTTCTGAGGCGTGTGGAACCACCACTTAATTGCTATTGTTCCCAGATCCATCCTGATATAGGGTGGTATCACATTTTAGGGTCCCAGTTATGGCCAAATGATGAACCCCTCCCCGCAAACAAAAACACTATGACAGTATAAATAAACATTTTAATAGTAAAAAATACCAGCAATATATTTTTATATAAAAAAAGACCAACAAAATGAACAACAATAAATGTTATCTGTAATTCAAAGCATAAAATTGCGTCCAAAATATAAATGATGTTCAAATAACTTGGACCGATTTTAAATTTGAATTAAGTCTAATGATTTTTTTTTTTTTTTCTTTCAGATTTAACAACGTAAGTCTTTGGCAATTTCAACCATGGAAAGATTAACAATCAAACAACGTGTTAAAGTTTCAAGAGTGCAGTTGGAAAAATTGTTCGTAAATTCAAACTGGGTTTACGCCGTTCAGCTGAAGACATTGCTACAGTGCACGAGAATATGGCCAAAAATCCAGACCCCTCTATTCATCATCGCGTGCAGGAATTGACCCTCTCCACAACAACGTTACATTGTTTCCAATTGCACTCTCGGTTGGTGGATTATGTTGACCAAAAAAATCGTGAAGTGCGCGAAATGCATTTCATTTTGAACGTCCATTTTCTTAATGGGCTTCGATAATTTTATCACCTCTCCTCCCAATCCATCGCCGAGGCACGTTTTCATTCAGATAAGCTCTAACCCCGAGATGCCAATGGGGTGGTGCTCCGTCTTGCTGAAAAATGAAGTCATTCGAATCTGCTTGCAGTAAAGTGAATAGCCAGTTTTGGAGCATTTCGAGATAGGTTTGTCCTGTTTGTAGCTGCAGTGGAAGTTATACTAAAGACAGTGGTGAAACTGACACCCAATCAAACTTTGATAACTACTCTATCAAAAAACAACTGATTCAGTCCACTACAATGCTATAGACCTGAAAAAACAGCGTAATGATTTTGGCGTATTCTTTTTGAAACACCCTGTATAATATAAAAGATATAGTAGGTCGATGAACAAAATTCGAGAGATAAAATAATAATAATAATAATAATAATGGTAATGAAAATAATATTATTCATTGTTTATGTTAGGCCTTTAGAACAAATAAGAATATGGCGAGAAAATATATTAAACATTGAATTTTTCAGACACGCCTTTGTTATTTTTCCATGTGAAATAAAAGGAAGTTGGACGTTTTGGGATTTGTTTTTTTGTGCATGTGTTATACAGCTGAAGAAATCTATAATGTCTGTGTTAGTTAACGCCAATCGCAATCTTCCCTCTTCATGAATACTGTTTTTTTTATTCGTTCTCCTCGCTTTTTACCCATTTTTCTTTCGCTTACTCTCACTAACCCCTTTATTTAGTTGAAGCCATAAAATTGCTCAAAATATTTAGATTTCGATATTGAATAACCTATAGTCGTTGATAAACAAAACCAAACGGTTGGGGATTCCGGTATGAAATCCGGTCTCAAATGAATGAAAAACACAGGAATGAAATATAGCAAATAAATGTATTGACGTAATAATACAATTGGTAATACGGTTAGTAGATCTAGAAATGCGGTTAGTAGCAATAATAATATATATAGTCTGGGGAATTCAGTATCGAAGTATGACTTCCTTCTGAGTCTACGTGCTCGCAACTGTGACTCCTACAAAGCGGTTACTTCACACTCTCACTCTCTCACTCCCGGATATTCACCGCCAACAGCACAAGTACACACTGCGCGAGTCCACTTGTATGAAAAAGGGGTGGACCTCTTAACACAAACAATCGTATTCGCCAGGGAACTATATTTCAACTCTTGAACCACATCTATAGCTCTGCAAAACTTAAGGTAGGGACAATTTTTAAAAAAATAGTGGAAATAAGAAAGAAAGGAAAAAAACCAAAGAAACCTGAAAATATTTCCACCGCCTACACGTTTTACTAAGAGAAATAACTTTTCGTTTTTACTTCCTGCTCAAATACATTTTCAGAATAATAATGTTTTCATTGAGGTCGCTCGCATTTGCCCTCCTTTCTATTGATTGTCTTTGTAAAAATGGTGTAATCTTCTTAAAGTCAATGTCCAAAAATGTAGACTATGGTAGACAAACATAGAATTCAGGCCAGAAAAATACGGGAAGGTGGCAAACAAATCTAGTCCATTTGCGTCTTTGGACTTTGTAACCTCCTACATCTCTTACCTGCACACAGAAACACGGACAAGCAAGCACACACAAAGAGATACGCATACAAGGAAAGATATACATATATAAAGATAAATCATAACTGCGTGCAAAGGATACTATATTTCTGTACAGGATACAGGTAATTGTATTTTTCTTGTCATTTTCAAAAAATAAATTCTGGGTATATTTCTTTTTTTTTTCATTGCACCGTATCTTTTTAATATATTGTCTATCATGGCTCTCCACAATTTTTGAAAAATTTGTAGCTCTTAATAAATTTACTATTTTTGTTATCAATCCTGAAGCGTTTTCTCGCAGGGAGGTTTTCCGTTGTTTTCCTCTGTCCCTCTTGCCTTCAGTCTGCCCTGTGTGTATAAGATTTTCCAAGCCTTCTTTCCTCGATATATGCCATAGTAATTTCAGCTGACTCTTTCTGATGTTATATATAAGTCTCCATTTTGGATCCATTTTCTCAGAAATTTCGTCTTTGCTTACATGTTCAGTACATGATACGTGTGATCAGTTTTGTGAAAGTGTGACGTTATTCAACCAATACTTTACTGTTTTTCTATCGAATCAGTCATTTAACTCCCCATTGACAAGAAAAAAAAAGCAAGAATTTTCACCTCCGTCTCATCTTTCTTTCTCATTTGGAGAGTTGTTAGAGCATTCGCTTTCTAAAATGACACTGGTTTTATATCTCCCCTTGGTCGATTTCTCATGGAGGTTGTCTTGATGTTGTCGGTCTCGGGTAAGTGATCCCAGCATGCGGCTTCTTTGGAAAGTTCCTGAAAAAGTATACCACAGGCTGACCTTAAGCCTTGTGAGTAAAATTGGATAGCTGGAACTATTTAGGAGACTTCAGATAACTGAAAGTTTTATAAGATCTGTGCTCCGTTTGGATAAGTCTTGTTCGTATGTACATCGTCTTTGTCATGTTGTATTGATAATGTTAGAGTTTATGAATATGTCCTGAAGATGGTTTATTAGACCGAAACGTCCGACGTTGACATATTAACATTAAACAGCATAATTCTATATAAGGATTTTTGTTTGTTTTTTCCGTATATATTTTTCTTCATACTGTCGGATTTATATCCATATATTTGCTTATATATATATGTGACGGTTACACACCTGGCCCAGTGTCGGATCCTTTGGTTACGGCGCCAACGGTGACGTCGCTCCTCCTGGTCGTTCCTCCTGGGTCCAAGCGTGCCGCTCCAACCCTTTGGTCAGATGATCACCAGCCTCGCCTTTCCCGACTCGCTTCCAATACCTGGTCACTAAAGCAACTATACCGATCTCCGGTCTGTCTACCCACGCTGTGTTTAGATCTTAGACAGACGGGACCAGCAGGATCGGGGCCGATATGTTGAGTCCGACGGGGTGGCAAAACACAAATAAAATAAAAAACTCACGACACCAAACAAAATTGTTGATAAAAAGGGTAACAACCTTTTTATATCTTAAAGTCCGTTACATAAAAACAAAATTGTTCTCAATTCCCGACCCGCTCTGTGGACTATGGCACCAAGCTTCTATCACACAATAGGAAAATGTCGAATTACCTACTTTCTAGAATCATGTATGTATGTCGGAGTGTGGTTCAGTTCGACACTGGGGCTAATTTCTATCGATCATTCGCAGTTGATTCTTCTCTCCGACTTGAGTTGTATTTCTTCTTCTTCTTCTGTTTAGACTGGTAGATTTCTTGTTTCAACCCAGTGGAAGATTTCTT